ATGTTAGGGGAGTTGGAGTTGAAGGAATTGGTCAAAATAGAGTGAACTCAGCATGAGGGGTAGGTTGTCAAATTCCTCTCTCCCAGGACTGTGATATTCCTCACCATACCTAAATATGTTTGACTTATGATTCAGTAAGATTTTTTAGTGGAGACTTGCATACACACTGGTGTTTGCAAATCCCTATTTTACAAATATGACCCTAAAATCAGCCTGAGACAAGATGGGAACTCTAGCCTTGCTACAAACTGTGAGGCTTCTGCTCAGCACTCCAGATGCCTCCTGCTAACTCACCCACCCCTGCCAAAAAAATATGACAATGAAACAGGTAGGATTTAAATACCTGTGTTGCTATCACAATCCTAAGAGCCCCCAAACACTGACTAGACATTAGGAAGAGACAAAACATCTGTCCTTAAAAAAAAAAAAGAAAAATACAAAGAGTCTTGAAAGTAAGTGTCCTAAAAATCACAAGTTTTAACTGAAACTACTTTAAGATCACATTATTTTAACTGAAAATACCTTCATTATTTATTCTCAGAGCAAAGTCTCTGCCTATTGCACCCATCATTCATTACGGTGAATTCTAGCACAGCATTGACCCAAACCAAAGAAGAAAACATTTCTTACTGTGTTTTTTCCCTAAACAATGCTCATCTGCCAAGAAATGAGCAAGGGCATTGTGTTTTTTTAGTGTCAGTTGTGATATATGCAGATTTCTATACTTGAAATGAAAACATTATAGCTTAAATGTTTAAATATTATTTGACCTAAAATAAAAGAAAGAAATTTACCAGTTGTAGTTTCTCAAAGTCTCAACTAGAACAAAAAAGGCACCATTTGTTTGATATCATTTTGATGAATTATTAATTTTATCACAGCTAAGATGACAGCTAATATTAGAACATTGAATTATTAATTGTCAAATGTGCAATAAAAAGCAGAATAAACATAAACTGAGATGTGTTTTACATATGGGTCACAGTGTTTACATAGTCTATTTAAGAAAAATACCAAAAGAACGAGAAGGAATGAAAAATCTTGCCAACACTTCTGATGGATTCTTTTACTCAGTATTCTCTATGTCACTTTAAAATATAAAGCATAAATAACATGTATTGTCTAATAAATGTGATTATTGAACACTAAAGGTATACATTCTCCACACTGCAAGTCATCTTTGTGTAGTTCTAATAAGATAGTTAAATTACAAGGTGATAATAAGAGTGAGAAACATCTGTGGTCTTAAAGAATTCACCTCTAATCCTTTCAGGATTATTTTATTGAGAGATGAAAACAGGTAATGCAGCAGAGCTTCCAGTTATTTTTTTAGCCATTAGATTTTTGTCATGACAATTATTCCTATGACTACATAGAGTAAACCTCAGAGAGGTCCCATTCTTCCTCAAATGTATGAAGTTTCTAAACAGCTCTATTCCACGAGGGCTCAGTGCTGTGTCCTGTCACATAAACATGCCCTGAGCTCTTGAGCCTTCAAAGCCTTAACACTGGATTCCTGAATAAGAAAGCTTCCTTGGTGTTGGTGTCTTAAGCACTCCAACAGCGTGTCGCAGAACCACTGCTCAGAGCGCAGAGAAGTGGGGGGGGGGCTGTAGGCTGATGGATGTTTTTCAGACATAATTCCCCATCAGAAAAAAGAAAATAGTTGTTCATCCCAGACTTCATAAGGATTTAATCCAGATAAAAGATAAGGGCTTGATCTCCAGAATATATATGCAGCTT